AAAATATTCCAATATAGTCCAGTAGTCCATAATAGTAGTGTGTTATCCGTAGGACTAGCAATGTCAAAAGTTGTTGACTTGAGCTTTTTACAGCTCAGCATATTAAAATGGCTTTACTTTTTATACTTCATTTTTATACAATTCTGCTGGATGGTTAAGACCAAGATAAAGTAAGACCTATATAACAAGAAATGTAACTTTTGTATTTGACAAGGTCAGTAAAATCCCCTCGGGATTTATCCTGAAACCCTGTACCGCACTTTGTAGATCTTTTGTCAGTATCAGCCATGTGGATGAGTCATGGCCATTACTTGACCAATTTGCTCTCTGTGAAAGCCTGAGAGAATGTTTTCTCTCCATGTGACTCTCTGTAGGCACACTGTACATCATAGATCATTTTCCTCTGTGGCTCCATAATCTCCTTGATCAGAAAATTTGGGCCATAACTGAAATTCAAGTCTTTTGTATTTGTAGATAAATAGATGCAGCTAGAGACTTCATTGATAAGTGAAATAAATCAGATCCACATGTGCAAATATATTATCTTGCTGGTATGAGAACCTGAAATAATTAAAATCTGAAAGGTACAACAGATACTGTGAAAAGGAAAGAATTGTACAATGGGAAAGAAAGACTGGGATGAGGAAAAGGACAAATGAGAGAAAAGAAAAAGATATATGTAGGTATATAGGCAGAATAGTTTGGATAATTGTATTGTTGATATCTGCTGGTCTTTTTTTTTTTTAATGTATTTAGCACAGGGTCTACAGAGTCTCACTATACAGATGAGACTCATAGCGATCCTCCTGTTTTCAGCCCTGGGGGCAGGGCTGGTATGGCATGTGGTGCCCTGGTCCCTGGGCTTTGCCTAAGCACACACTTTAGTCTGTTGAGCTATCTGGCTGGTCTCTGCTGGTTTTTTGAAAGGAGCAGCTAATGCTTAATTTTTCTTTTCTCTTTTTACTCTTTTTTTCCCTCTTTTGAATTTCTTGTAATTTCTTTGTTTTTGTTTTGTTTTTCTTTAAATGCATCTTGCACATTTATATCTGGTAATCTGAACAACTAATCTGAAGATAGCATCATGTAATCCAGCAACCATTGTTAAATTCCTATTACTTAGTGAAATCTTGTATTGTTTCTAATGCTGTTTCTTTTTTTTTTCTATCACTATCTTGTACTTTTTAAAAATTAAAAATAAGATGGGGGTTGAAGATCTCAGGAGGGTGATTTATGATTTAGACCTAGAGTACAAAAAAGCATAGCTAGAACCTGACTAAGGCACATTTGGTACATGTTAGAGGCCGAAAGCAGGCCTCAAAGTGGAACATAAGCAGAGTCGCGCAGCATCATGTGTAGGTCGTGCCCAGTCATTGCCTGGCGTGAGCGTAGCTGGACTGGAGTCGCACATGAACATAACACATTTGGATTCTTTCTGCACCCCCTTCCCCACATGCACATCCACTCTCCGTCTCTTGGCCCTATTCCCTTTTGCAAAAGATCCATTTCCCATTATCTATCTTGTATTTTGCTCTATATTTATATGTTGAGTTCCTTGTGTTAAAGAAGCCATGTGATATTTAAGCTTCTGTGTCTGATTTATTTTTTATTTTTTATTTTTTATTTTTGGCAGAACTGGAGATTGAACTCAGGCCCTTGCGCTTGCCAGGGAAGCGCTTATTCCACTGGGCCATCTCCCCAGCCCCTGATTTATTTTACTTAATATTATGGTCTCACAGTGTATCCATTTTCCTACAATTGGCTCGGTTTTACCTTCTTGATGGCAAAGTATGATATTTTATACTTTAATCAGGGTTGTTGTCATTACTGCTCAAGACCTGGGCCTTAGTTTCATGTTTTCACTTTTGCCTTGCCTCCTAGGTGGTCTTTGAGGCCTTGCACAATCTGGAGCCCCGCGGCTATGTTGTGGGATGGATCATTGCCATAAGTTTGCTGGTGGGAATCCTCATCTTCCTGCTGCTAGCAGTGCTGCTGTGGAAGGTAAGTGTCGCAGTCACAGCTCCTCCTAGACTTTCTGCCATAGAGGTACAGCTCTCCTGCCTCCTAGAGTGGGAGCATCTTGAAGCTTCTTTTTGGTGCTTCCTTCACAGTACAGGCAAAAAGGTCACTGTCCCCTCCAAGCAAGGAATGGAGTCTTAGCTCTTCCTGAAGCCACTCACTGCCTGCAGATTTGGGCTACTTTACAGAGAGACAGATTGTGAGAACAAAAGTCTCAGTCTCCTCTTCTCTTACTTAACACTAAGAAGTCACACCAGTCTGATATAGGGTGTTGGGAACCTAACTTCAAAATCAGCTGGAGCATAGACAACCTCTTCAGTAAGCAGTTTGCCATTTACTTGAATAAATAGCAAGAATGATAACTCCACAGCAATGTTTTCTTCTTTCCCTCCATGGGAATAGGAGCAATTTCTACCTGGAAGACTGGGCTACAGGGATGGCTACAGATGCAGAGAAATACCTGAGGAGCTTCAACGTGAGCTCTCCCAGTCCCATGTGGGTCACTCTGGCAGACCATCATGGGTGTAGAATTTCCCTGCCACCATCACTAGGGCATGCTTACTCATTCTGTGGTCTTGCCTCACTATCATTCTTTCAAGGACAAAGGGTGTCTTCACCCAGTCTTCTTTGCTTTATACTCCCCAATATCCAATATCCTTTTACTTCTGACCCTTTATATTCACATATGCTGGTGTCAGAGCTATTATCTGATTAAGGTTTGCCTCTTCCACTGGGAAATAATGATTCAGGTGAGTAGGGTGCATGTCTATTCTTGTTTCCACTTTGTCTACAGCTCTAAAACAGCACCAGGGATACTGCTGGGACTTTCTAACACCAAAGCCCATATTTCTCCAATGTTTACAATTTTTTTTTTTTTTTTGAACCAGGGATCGAACTCAGGCCCTTGCGCTTGCCAGGGAAGTACTTATTCCACGGAGCCATCTCCCCGGCCCCAATGTTTACAATTTATTCAAATAGAAACAACCTCTAGGATTATTGTGCATAGATATCTTAAACCCAAATATTTAATTTCTTTGGGATCACCAAATAATATACATGTTTTGATCAAATATAATGTATTTTTAATAATTTTATTGAAAAACAAATAGCAATGAGACAGTTTCAAAACCGGTTAGTAGGACAGTTTCAATAATTAATATATTGCATATTGTTGTCTTAGTGGTTATTCATTGTATAAGATGCAGATATGATATCCTGTTTGCAAACACTATTAGAACAAATCTATTTATTGAATTAAGAGAAAGTAGCTGTATATCTATCGTAACTATTTTGAATATACAGATACAAAATGGTCCTTCATTTATATCCCCCTTTTTTGGTTTAGTTTTGTCAGAGATGGGTATTCCATTGTCATTTAAATATTGCAGGTGCGTGAATTCAGCAAAATATTCCAATATAGTCCAGTAGTCCATAATAGGAGTGGGTTATCCATAGGACTGGCAATGTCAGAAGTTGTTGACTTGAGCCTTTTACAGCTCAGCATCAAATATTATATATTAATAAAGAAAAAAGTTATAAAACACCCAGAAGTTTACACCCGTAGCCATGATGAATGTTGTAGTGTCTCTTTTCTGGCCTTTTATCTGCATATATAGACATAAGCTCAGCATTTAGGACCAACTTACTTTTTGAATAGTGTGTTAGTTAAATTTTCTGGTACTATATTCAGTACATTTTAAGTGAAATACTTCTAAATCTAAAGCAGTGAGTTCAGTTATTAATCTGAAAGAAAAAGTATAATAAAAATACTTCATAGTAAGAAATCTAGAAATATGTAATAATAATGTGTTTATTTTTCTTAGATTAACAGTTGGATCCCTTGCTCTAATTTAGAGTTACTTTGCCTGCAAAGGTGTCTGGAATTTGAAGAAATATATATTGAGTATGTTACTTGAAAATAAGTTCACTTTATTCCTGATTTTAGACATCTGACCTGCTACTTTGTAAACCTTTGTTCCCTGAACGGATCCCTGTGAGTGTCTATCTTTCTATCCCATGTCCATTTCCAGCTGATCTTTAAGCTGCAGAATATCTGCTGTTTCTTTTCACAGCGCCCTGTTGTTGGAATTTAGGCTATTCTTGGTTGCACATTACTTATAACAATACTACAATGAATTAAATATTTTTACAAATCTTTCATTATGTCCTTAGAATAAAACCCTAGTGGGGCCCTGGCTCCTTCTTCCAGCGACGTCCAGTGCGGAGCAGCTCTGGCCAGAGGGGACAGGTGACATTTTTTTAAAAATTTGAATTAAGACATCTACCCTGTGGACATACACAGTTCTACTATTGCAAAAGAGAAAACCAGCTTTGACAGCACAGCCATGATGCCCAGGGTTCAACCCAAGCTGGCAAGACCAGCAAATGGACAGGAAGAAGGCCACAGGAGGGGAGAATAGGCTTCCACCAAGAGGGCAGGAGCCTCTGAGAATGCCACCAGAGGTGACAGGAATGAGCTAGAGTTTGAAGAAGTGATGAAGACTTTCTTAAGGAAACTTATGGAAGCAAAAATCACAACACCCGCAGTGAAAAATGCAGAGAGCTCCTGGCGCAGAAAGGAAAGACAAAAAGTAACGCCAGCGGGGGCGAGGATGCGGAAAGCCTGAGTTCCAGAAGAAAACCAGGTGCGCAGGGGAGAAGCGCCGACACAGCTCCCCCCGGCCGGCCGTGGGGGCCAAGGGAAGGCGCGCCCTCCACGGGGCCAAGTCAGAAGAACTGCGAGAGGAGCCTCGCCAAGTAACGAGGGACAGAGAGGCCGTGAGGCCCTGGGGAGACCTTCGGGAAGGAGAGGCCGGAGAGCGAGAGCCAGCGGAGGAAACGCAGGCAGGAAGAACCTTTGCAGACCCGAGGAAGGAAGAGCCGGCTGCAGAAGAAGGCGGCCGGGGGCTGAGGGCGCCGCCTTGACGCTGGCTGCCGACTTCTCCTCCACAACGCTGGAAGTCGGCAGGCAGTGAGCTCGCATCTTCCACGTTTTGGGAGAAAACGGTTTTGACCCCAAGTTTCAATGCAAGGTTGAACTGGCATTTAAATGTGATGGCGAAGTCTAGACCTTCTGAGACCTGCAGAGCCTCAGGTGCTTTGCCAGCAGAAAGCTTTCATGAGAGATTTGCTGAAAGATGCTTTCCCACAGAGTGCAAACTCATGCGGAGAAGGACGGCAACGTGGGATGCAAAGAAAGGGGGAGAATCCTCTGAGCGCCTCAAAGTGTGGAGCTGGAGACCCAGCGAGCGATGGCTTTAACTTGCTTTTCATTAAGGAGGTGAAGGTGGCTGGGGCTCAGGAGGGGAGCTCAGCATCTTCGGAGTGGGAGGGAAAGGAAAGCCCCAAGGTGGGGGAGCAGGAGGACTCATGGCTAGAGGAGGAGGAGGAGGAAGAGAACTGGGGGAGGAGGAGGAGGAGGAGAAAGAAAGGATGTGGGGAGAGGAGGAAGAGGAGGAGGGGGAGGAGGAAGGGATGTGGCTGGAGGAGGAGGAGGAGGAAGAATCCTGGGGGGAGGAAGAAAACTCAGAGACTGACAAGGAGGGAAAAGGAGACTCAGACAGAGGAGAAGCAGAAGGGAGGAGGAAGCCCAAGCACAGAGGGAGAAGGGGCCTCAGTGCTGCGAGAGGGACTTGCCTGTAGTCGGGAGAAAGAAGGGCCAGTGCAGACCCAGGGGGAGCACAAGGCGGAGGTGCAGGAAACGGCTGCTTCCAGAGGTCAAGGAATTGAGGCTCTCCATCCGACTTCGCATCACAGTGCTCTCTCGAAATCACTAGAGTGATTCAAAACAAAACGTGTTCACGGGCAAATCCGAGTGCTTCGTCAGCGGTCACCAAGTTTTTAGGGAAAACAGAGAAAGAGAGGAACAAGACTCTGCAGATGAAAGAGCTGACATCTGAAGAAGCAGCCTTACTCCAGGAAACAGAAGAAAACTTCAGAAGAAGCATGGTGGGCATCTTCAGAGAGATACAAGAGGAGATGGAGCACAGAAGAAAATGTTGCCCCAATGTCGAGGAAGTTAAGCATTCGGTAGACGACCTGCACCACAGGGTAGCTCAGCTCGAGGAAATAGTGAGCTGTCTGGACAGCCAAGGGGAAGAGGCAACCAGGGATGCAGCGCAGATGTCCAGGCAGCTGCTGAATAACGAGAAACTTCGCATCCGGGAAGACGAATTCAGAAGCTCCAATGTCTGCATGATCGGAGTCCCAGAAAAGGATAGCAAAGCGAACGAGGCAGAGGACATAATTAAAGAAATCACTGAAGAAAACTTCAGAGCTGAGGAGGAGCTCAAGGCTTGAGGTCATCAGTGCTCAGCGAGTCCCAGCAAGGTGGATGAGAGAAAGCTCACTCCTAGACACATCTTGGTGATGTTCTGGAGCCCCAGTGAGGGAGAGAAGATCCTGAAGGCCACTTGAGAGAAGTCACCTATGGGGGCCAGAGGATCCGGCTGACGGCAGACTTCTCGCTGAGGACGCTGGACACCCGGAGCCAGTGGTGCAACATCGTGAGAGTCCTGCACGGCTTCCACTGGCGAATCCGGTACCCAGCCAGATTGGCCTTTAATTTTGAGGGCCAAACAGGAACATTTTTTGATATTGACGAATTCAGAAGATTTGTTTGCCATGTACCTTCTTTGAAAGGATTACTAAGAACGTACTCTAGGGTCTAGGTGGCTGCAGCAAGCAGTAGCGCATTTTCCCCACCAACACCCAGGAGGGCGCAGTGAAGTGAACATCGCGTCTGTACCTGCAGGGTGGGCATTCGACAGCTCTGCTGGTGCAGCAAAGGGAACAGTATTACCTGGACACCATTAAAAGCTGTACTTCTAATTTTAATGATAATCGTAGCTGGCATAGAAGGTTTGTTTGTATGTTTGTTTGTTAACAAGAGAATGAACCCAGAGTGTTTGCTCTGAGCTACGTTTTCAGCCCTTGAGAAAAGTTTCTAGACAGGTCTCACCAAGTTGCCCAGGCTGCGGCTC